GGTTGTAAAATCTTTTGTGGTTCCTAAACTACCAGTGGCGAAAAATCAATGTTTTGGTGTAAAAAGCCCATTTCACCAACACTTTTGGGGAGGTAGTTTACATTGTGAATGTAATTACCGTTTCCAGAGTTAGTAGCCGCGGGCCCTCTCATACCGTCGGGGGCTGCCGTCGCTTCCGTTCCTATCTCTCTTTTTGTGTTTTGGGCTTTTCGTTCAAAGACACCTGAGCCTACGATCCGTTAAAAAGTTAAACAAATGCCTCCACTTATACCACTAGGTTTGTCATTGTCACCTCTCACCACCCTTCGGATTGAGGGGGCTCGCAGGGCTGCTACTTTGCTATATTCATGTGAAAGGTTTCATAGATCAAGTTCCATGCTCGAGGATGGAGTTGACTCGATGTCGCATGTCAATATAGGATTATTGGGGCGAGGTGACCAACAGTACATACTGTCAGAACTTTCCGGAGGGGCAGCAAATTGCTACTTCTGCGGCGCTTCAGGCTGGGGGGAAAGCCCACCATTGTCTCGAGTTACCAGAGCTTGGTCGTGGAATGATTACGAGCTTTTTCAATCGACTCAATATCTGAAGTTTCCATCTCAAAACCGACCCCCCGCTCAAATATGACCAATTTCACAGGCTTCGGGTTGGGGTTGGCTCTTCGGTGGATGAAACGGACTGGACAAGTGATGGAAAGCGGGATCGCTACAGAAGCTGTGGTATATTCCAAAGTTGGAAGGCTGCGAATAATATAGAAGCAACTTTATCTCCCGTCCGCATGTTACCTTGTTATGATGGATTCCTGCTCCCGCCTCCTCAAGGTGCCCCGATGAAAATGGGAATAGATGGCCCCATCATTATTTTCAATAGCACCGTTTATAGGAGTGATTCAATAGTTGTCACCATTTCACCAATTACTTTATTAAAACTTCTGGAACCGAGCTAGGAAGGAACAGGCCGCCGATGAAGCAATTGCCCAGTTTCGGGGGAGGAGAGTTGTTTAAGCGAATCCGGGAAAACAAACAAATGAAAGAACTCCTCATTTGGTTATGGGGTGCAACAGTAGGACCAGTTTTTGACAGCCTTGAACCGGGGGTTTTCGACTTTCTCTTCCGAAATAAAGGGAGCGGCGGTGAGCACCAACTGGTCTTTGTCGTTTTTCACGAAGCTGTGAAGAAACATCGAGACCAAAGACCAAGAAACTTTCTTGCCTGTACCTCTTTCGTGCCATGAGTGCATAAGGTATCCGGTTCGTCATGCGCTCCGGAAATAGTCCACTCTCTTAGGTTTCACAGAATATAACTTTGTACAGAAAAATACATCCTCCCTATCCCACCTTACGAACTGAGTCACACTTACTTTGCGGTCACTTTTTACCATTGGCTCGAAGGGTGCCCATCCACTTCCCTATTTTATCATTGCGTGTAGGACTTTACTAAATCTCTCCGCTTGTTTGATTTTCTATCTTTGTTAAAAAGGGCTTTTTTAGTAAAGTAC